GACTATGTGCTTCATTGTGACAATTGTGCAGCAAACAAGACCATTCACCAGGTACCACGTGGATTGCTCCAACCTTTACCCATACCCACTAGACCCTGGTCCAACTTGTCTATCGACTTTATTGTAGAACTATTCCCTTCCAGTGGTCATTCTCATAGTCGTAGAAAGATTTTCTAAGATGGCTCAATTCATACCCCTGAGAAAACTCCCCTCCTCAGCAGAATTGGCTAGGATTTTCACCACAGAGGTATTCTGTCTACATGGCATACCGGAACAAATTGTATCTGACAGAGGTAGTCAGTTTCTCTCTCACTTCTGAAGGGGATTTTGCTCGCGGATGGGTATTAAATTGTCCTTTTCCTCCACTTACCATCATCAGACTAATGGAGCTGCTGAACGTGCCAACCAGTCTCTTGAACAGTACACACATAGTTTTGTTTCTCATCACCAAGATGATTGGGTTGACCTGCTTCCTAGGGCTGAGGTTGCTCGCAATAACGCTACTCACGAACCCTCTGGATTCAGACCTTTTTACATAGTCTATAGTCGGCATCTTGTTGTTCTTCCAACTGCATTCTCCTCACGGGGATACACACATGGCTGGATGAACACATGGCTGGTTTGCGTAGTACTTGGGAGCAGGTTCAACAATTATTGGCTAATGCTGCTCAGAGATAGAAGGTACAGACTGATAAGCATCACTGTACAGCTCCTTCCTATGTAGTGAGGGTTTAGCTGTCTACCCAAAATATCTGTCTCCGTGGACTATGTACCCTCCATGAAGTTCCCTTCTCATTTCTTTGGGCCTTTCTGCATCTGGACTTGCCTCATTCCATGCATATGCCGTACGTCCTTGTTGAAACCTCTGATCTGTAATCGGGTTACTAGACCTCGCACATCTCCACCTCCTGTATCGGTTGAGGGGTGGAGGAATATGAGATTGCTGTTGTCCTTGGCTCCAGGTTCCTGAGGGAGTAGTCTTTAGTATCTGGTCCATTGGAAGGGGTATGATCCTGGGGAACGTTCCTGGACCCCTCCGCTTGAATTCATGCTCCTTTCATCACAGTCACCCGGACAAGCCTGGTCCTTCACACGTATATCCTCCCGGAGAGGTAAAGTGACAATACTTACCACCTCCGAGCCACGCCTGCCGCGCGGCACACTGAGGTAAACTCACCTCCCTCGATCCTAGTCGACTTCCTGCCGCATGGTCCAATTGCCCCCGCGAGCATGGGGCATTCTTGAAAAAACAGAGCTGTAGAGAATGTGTTGCAATCTTAAAATAACAAAAAAATAATAATAAATAAAGAATGCACAATACACGAGAATTAAGTGGAATTGGAAAAATTACTTTAGTGAACTTCAATTAATAGAATTTATAATTTTTTTTGAAAATTACCAATGCATACATAGAAAAAAAAACATTTTCAAAAGTGGTCAGCCATGTCAATGGCATTGTAATCATGTAGTTTCACGAAACCCAGGTATGCATTGTCAGGTTGAGAAACTTTGTACAAATTGCATCAACAATACATGAGGGAATAGACCTGTGATTTTTTTGTCCAAGATAACCATGTAGCCATTCGCAGTATGCTGTCTTACTCATTTGCCCATAATGATAAAATGAGGAACGAGGTAAATGAGGTAACATTTTGAAAATGTATATAAAAATCCAGGTTAATCAATAAATACTGTACCTTAGCAGACTATTAAATACTAATTTAAAGTTGATAAGTCTCAGCCTGTGTTCTTTGGATATATACAAAGAAAAAAAAAAAAGACTCAACTGTTACTCCACCATAGGTATAGGATAATTCCCTACAGTCGTGATTAGTGACAGCCGGGGAAAATGAGAACATTTGGCTGTGGTAGGTTTACCTTATGATTAGGTTTTGCAGATCTTGGAAAATACTAATAGAAAATATTATATACTTTGTCTTAGTATATCTTTTGACTTCGCTGAAAGGTGGGGGTGGGGGGTTGTGGAAAAGAAGGTGAAGTGACATTTGAAATTTAAAATTTATAGAAAAAGATTCATGTTCAATAATGCTTGTGAAGGTTTTGAAGGCCTCTGGGACTCTACTACAAGGAAAAGATACCAAACATTTGTGAACTCATGTTATATGTACTTGAAGAATGCGTTATCCAGTATACACAGTGTATCTTTAAGACGACTGACCACATTAGAATTTTCTTAAGAATATATGTATTCCTCCACAGTTGGCAAAGTAATGCAGTTGCCACAGGTGCACCAAGTGGTATATCTAATTCTTCCTTCAACGACAGGGTGCCAGGACAAAATAGTGGCCTAACACGCAGAATTAAGTCAAACACAGAAAAATAATAAACTAAGAAAATACGTATTACCGGGCCTTAGAATGGACGGAATTTTGGGGCTATAAATCAAAATAATAATATGGGGAACATAGGGTTCCCCATGACATCACCCTTGACCAGTAGGAGGGGCTAAACTTAAAATGAATGGAGAGGACTTAGTGTCGCCCTCAGGCCACACTCATGGTTAGCAGATGGGGGTTCTGATTAATAAACGGGGGGAACCTAATACCTCCAAGTCTTCCACCCATTGGTGGCAGGTGGGGGCTATAATATTGATAACAGGAGAGTCCTAGTGTCTCATCTGCAGACTATGCTATGAGTGCCCTGCAGAAGGTGGGGCCATATCTATTAAATATTTAAAAGTAGCCACAGGAGTGCCATTGCTACTAATTTTATACAGGGACGACGACATAGTATCTTCCTCAGCCCCCCTCCCCCGTGGGCAGTGAGTGGGGGCTATTAGAATATTACTGGGGAGGGACCTAATGTTCCTCAGCCCATCTCCCACATGTGGGTAATAAAGGTGGGTAATAAAATAATAAAGCAAGGTAGGGGGGCTGGGGGGGGGGGCTAGTATACACTACACTAGCCCTTGATCAAAGAAAGAACATTGGAAAAAATTTAAAACCATAGCACGAAAAAGTAAATCTATCTTCTCCCCTTGAGGGCTACATGCTGTATGAGGCTTTTAAGCAGGTATAGCCTTTATAAAACTCCCCTACACTTTGAATTCCAGTGTACAAATAGTATGGAGTTTTCAAAATGAAATTTGAAGCATTTGGATATGGATTTCAGCCGTCTGTTTGACTAAAATCCGGATGTAATTCAGGCCTGAATTGCAAAATCCATACATTGTTAAACAGTGTGAACAATGTCTGAATGTTGCCGTCCACATGGTCTCATTTGCTTCTAGATGGTTTTGACCATTTTGGTACTGGGTTCAGACCTTTGTAAATGGCCCTGTTAAAGATATCTTCTTAAAATTGCACATAACATTTTATACAGTACAAACAGCTACAGAAAAGATAATAAAGCACAATAAGTTTTCATCCTCTAAACTTGTAGAACACGGTGAAGGGGCACTGGCATCCACTGTATAAGGGTGCATCTTTGTTTCATCTTTAAACTCCAGCTATTTTCAGAAACGTTTCCACGAAGTTCAGCCGTCCAATTCAAGTGACAAAGCTTAGCCTTCATTTTCTAGGTGTATAGAAATATAATTGAGTTCTGAACATTGGCTGTTAAACAATTAACTTTTTATTTCTTCATTTGCTTTTTATCACATCAGTATATCTGTTTATACTGGATTGTTTTTTGTTATTATAGGATTAATGTTTCATGAAACATGATTGTCTAGCTATTTAAAGCCATACTGTTTAGACAACATCTTATAATTTATCAGTCCTAATATGCACTGTGCAGTCCAAAATGTTGACTTTTCAGATTTGTATGAGCAGAAACATGTTTTGTCAGATGAAAGACAGCATTTTCAGCTTTTTCATGGATGTAAATGTTTCCTAAGGCAATTGTAAACATTTACTGCTAAAGGTCAGTAATTACCTTTTATAATGTGCACTTTGCCTTGATTTTTTTTTTTTAACATCAACTATGATTTTGTGAAAAAAAACATTGTATCTATTTTTATGATAATTTTTTTGAACCGTAACCCAGATACCAGGGTAAAAAGAGATAAAATCTATGACCAAGAAGGTGATAATTTCTTCAATACCTCTTTGACATTTCTTATTTAGATAATTACTTATATGTTACCTTACAAAGATATATTTAATATTTTTTATTGTTGTGAAGTGGTCATATACTACCAAAATTAGTCAGAGTGTGCAGTATAAAATATACATTCAAGAATTGCTTGGATGATGAGACATGTGTAGTGAGGTGTGGGTCTGGTAAGTGTAGGGTGATGTAAGTGGTTAGAACTCTTACATTATAGACAGGCCCGTACTCGCCATTGGGCAAATCTGGTAAATCACAGGATCTCACCTGCTGTCCCGTGCAGATATAGTGTTATCAAACCAATGGCCCTGCTGTGTGTCTTCATTGCCAGTGGGGAGATCAATAATCACCCTCACGGGCCCACAGCCACTGAAATGGGCAGCCAGCATGGAAGGAAAAGGAGAGAAAAGAGAGACGACCTAAGGAGTTATAGCCAGCAGTTACAACGGCAAAGCTCCTATTTTGAGAGAATGAACTCTAACTGGAGGAGCTGCAGAGTAGAGTTTACTTACCACAAGTACCACCAGGGCTTCACAAGTAATGCCCCCTTTTCATGAGCAAAGGTAAAAAGGTAAGGAAATAAAAGAGGGATATAAACTATATTTTTTTAATGTTGACCTCATCCAAGGAAGTGCTATAATCTGACCAACTGCACCCCAAACACACACTGCACCCCAAACATACACACTGCACGCTTCAAACTCACTGAACCCCAAACATACACACATTGCACCCCTCACACACACAGCACCCCTCACACACACCTTATCCCTCACATACACATTGCACCCTTCAAACACACACACTGCACTCCTCACACATACATTTCACCATTCACATACACACACACACACAATGCGCCCCTCTAACACACAAGCTGCACCCTACACACACTTCATCCTTCAAATACATACTACACCCCTCACACACTGAATCCTTCACACAGATTACACCGCTCACACACACATACACTACAGCCCCTATGCACACACTCATTACATCCCCTATACACACTTTCTCTCTCACTCTCTACAGCCCTTACCCACACATAGTACACCACACATACAACAATACTGAAATCAAAATCTACACAAAGCACCACACCACAATCAACTCACTCTACACACACGCAATCCCACAAGTGTTACTTTACTTCCTAAATACCATAGAATTGAAGAATGAGACTCCTGGGGAATGATCTATGTAACGGACCGTTTTGAACACAAGGGGTAAAAAACATTTAGTAGATCTTCCCCTTCCAGATGCACAGGCACAGATACTGCAGAACACCAATCCGCCGAACAGGAAACCATATGAATGCTGTAAACAGCCGAATAGGAAAAACCATCCGAATAGGTTTACACTCCTAGCAGTCAAACTGGAACAGCATACAGTAAATCCCCCCAAAGATGAGACAAGGCTCCGTGTTGAGGGTCAAGCAGTGAACAGACAGAGCTGTGGGTTTATTGTGCTTATGTACACATTCTTACACATTAGTACCACCCACAGGGTTTTGGAACACAACCAATAAACACATACAATACACTCAGACACTCCCACACAAATTCCTCCCCTCTGCATGTGATTCAATTACCTTACACAATGGGTAATGTAATTTAGCACAAGCAGAGAAATACAATTTTCCACATTATTCATAACTTGAAAAGTATGCATCACATTCACATAAAACATTACATTTTCAGAATCAGCATACTCCAAATACAAACATACGTCAAAATCATACAAATTGGTCCAGTGGTTCAAAAGATAGATCGTAGTCCTTTGTGACCACAGGAAGCATGGCTTTTCTGCCCAAAACCAGTTCCACAGAGTCTTCTATCCTGGAGATAATTAGAGGTAATCCAATTATCTCCAAAGACAGAGGCAAAACTCCATTGAACACATGGCAGCAAAAAGACAGTAAAATACAATAAAATACACAAAGTTACATTTATGACATAAAATACAGACATGCAACATATGCCCAGATAGCTTAGTCTGAGCGCACATTAATACTGAATGGCGCTCAGAGCACACACATACAGTTCAATTGCCATGGAGCCAAAGTCTTTTATTACATGAATAGGCTCCATGGCATACCTATCTGGGTTATATGAGTTCATTCAGTAAATCCGAGAATCTACCAAACACCGGGCAGAAAAGTACGAATAAGACTTTTCTGCAGTGAAAAATATGTATTTTAACATGGGGGCCATAGTCCAAAGGCAGCAGGCAAGCAACCAGGCTTCTCCAATTCAATGTGGCAAGATTGCTCTCGTCACAATCTATATACTAAAACAGCTTATTTAATCTGAGTTGTTTTGGTGCTTAGAGCATGCCTTTAATATTATTGTGTGATTATTTTCCTTGTAAGCAATACTTTAATAACCACTTGTGATTTTGTTTATTTGTAATGACATGCTCAAAATCTTTTACTTCATACATGATATCATAGGTCAATGTAAAGCCAATTGGTGATATCGGAAATCTTGGTTGAACAGACTTAGTATGTATTATTATTTTTTTTTTTCAAAAATGCCCTAAAATCATGATATCACAGCAGCATCTGTATTAAAATGTCATTGTTTAAAATATTATTCCCTTTCTATATAGCCCTAAACAACTAGTACAACTATTGAATTATAACCAGTTCAATTTAGTACATAACCAATCACAAAACTCATCAGCATTAGAGTGCATTTTGGATGCAGCTTTAATCTAACCAAATGGAGTTGGCTAGAGGTGCTCACTTGAATTATGACTTTTCCTGAGACAGTTTCAGCTATTCACCACTAATCATACGCCACTTGCTTAAAAGAACACTGTAGGCACCCAGACCACTTTAGCTCATTGAGGTGGTCTGGGTGCATTGACCCATGTCCCTTAACTCTACAGTGGTAATTATTGCAGTTTTTAGTTTCACGCTATGCATGAGGACCTCCAGTGTCAGATTTTACCCATAGGAAAGTATTGCCGCACATGCGCCCTAGGTCTCTCCCACCTGCTGACGTTGGAAGGGGAGAAGCGTAGGCGGAGCCTGACCCAGCACCGATGGACTGAAGCAGGGGCATGAGGGAGGGGGCAGGAAAATCGGTTTGCTTTCCTGGCATTATGGAAACCTTTTAAAAATATATCAAATACAAAAAAACTTTTCATGCACAGAAATTAAACACCTATAATATTAATTCAAGGATGCTTTTATACAAATAAAAACAATAAATAATAATAATACTAATAATAATATACTGGTAACATTTCATTTATTTTCTTAAAAGAAGAGTGACTTAGGTTTGTGTGCTCTGAATGAGAAAATGCTAGATTGTGCATTCTGACACAAAGAGTAGTACATTGCCAATCTTTGAAATGTCAGTGCATGGACTACCTGCTGGGCTCAGCTTAGTACTGCAGTGTGAAGATTGAGAATAATAAAGGATAAAGGTTAATGAAGGCACTGGGCTATTTATTATCGTGAATAAAATGGTCAAGTACTATGCAGACAACTTCTTTAAAGTTTAAGAATTTCTCTTTTATTGCTAACCTTTAGTTTCCCATCTTTCCGACTATTTATTGTAATTGATCATTTGTGTATTTGAAAGTGTTCTAACAACATACAATGTATATTTTAAAAGGATTGGGTCTTTTAAGGTCTAATAAAACTATTAAATAAAAAACTTTAAAAACCCTGCTGTTTTATACTACCACTTTATTTCCAGCATAACACATATAAATATTCTTATTATGTTATTATTTATATAGCGCCAACAATTTCCGCAGCGCTTTACAGGGGATGAACGAACAAACATGTAGTTGTAACCAGACAAGTTGGATACACGCTAGAGGGAGTGGTGTAAGGTGACACAAAAGGTAAGGATAGTATTAGACTAATGACCGTTGCAAGAGATGAATCAGTCGTGAGCTATTAACAGTTTAATTTATATGCTTTTATAAAGAAGTGGGTTTTTAATGACTTTTCTTGAAGGAGTGGAGACTGGGTGAGCATCTAATGGAGGAGGGAAGTTCCACAGGAACAGTGCAGCCCTCAAGAAGTCTTGAAGGCAAACATCCGAGGTGGGAGTACAGACAGAAGATAAACGCAAGTTTTTACCAGAGCGTAAGGGCCTAGATGTGTATTAGGGAGGATAGATAGGTGGAAGCAGCATTATGGGAGCACTTCCCTACTAAATCACTTATACTGCAAACACTTCTATATCCACTACAAGCCTTACAAAAACTAATCTCAAGATCAGATGAAAAAGCTTTAAATCAGATCTTTTCTAAATTTCTCTGGAAACAAAAACATCAATGAATAGCAATGCACAAACTATCTCAACCCAGATTTAATCTGGGTTTAAATATTTCTAATCTAAAACTATATAGTTTAAAAGCACACTATCGTCATGCGCTGGTCTGATAAAAAGAACAGGACAATTCTTTGTAGTACACTTAGAAAAACAACTCTGCTCTAGTATATCACTCTCCCAACTACTAAACACACCATACACTTGCCTCCCAGAGGAAGCAAGGGAAAAATCTCTACTCGCTACCATTGTTAAAGCATAAAATTAGCTAGTGGGCAATACACCCAATTTATATTTTTCCTGCATATCCCATGTTTCCAAGATGAAGATGCCCAATACCCTTACCACTCTTGGGAGGCCACAAACCAAACTAACATATATAATTTTTTGGATGAAAGCAAAAATTTGATCCTCACGCTCCAACAAATGAAACATAGATTTCCTGACCTCAATGTTCCCTTCTTTGCATACTTACAAACTTGACGCTTTATATACAAAAGCATTCCACATCTTAGACCAGGAGGATGGAATCACTCCATAGGCTATCCATCTCATCTTACTCAATTAGTTTACTCCGATCACAAACCTGAATTACATGACTATACATTTTAGTCTATTTTAGGTGGACAACACATTTCCCAACACTGACTCATCGAGGGATTCTGGAAATTCTGGAAGCAGTTAGAAAATTATATAATGGAGGGCAATAGTGAATAAAAAAACTCACGATGGGTGTCTTTAACCCCTTAAGGACACATGACATGTGTGACATGTCACGATTCCCTTTTATTCCAGAAGTTTGGTCCTTAAGGGGTAAAAGGATAAAACCTTTATTCAATATATAATACAATCAGCAATTAGCATCCATGTCACAAACCTATGTGCATACTAGGTGTATGAATAATATTACTTAGTGCAAAGAGTGGTATATGTGACCAACAAAGTGATATGTGCATATACTTGCATAAATAGCAATTCTGGTATCTGAAAGGGAGACAAAAAAGTGAGAGAACTTCTAGTGCAGCATAATTTAAAATATATATTGTGAAATAATTTAGCTCTTAAAGTATCTCACTGACAAGATAGGAGTGGTAAAAGCACCACTCGTGGCTATAGCATTCAGGGATGTTCAGCCCCTAGAGTACGTGGGATCTGTTGGATACACATGCCGCCAGGATATCAGGTAAGTATATTCTTTATTATAGAAATATAGTAAAAACAATGAAAGTGTATACAATCCTTGGTCAGCTCACCAGCCCTTGGAAACCGAAACAAAGTCCAATTTCAGCATATAAAACTGTCCTTCCGACCTCTATCAACAGATGTTCTTGCTGGTTTGTATTGTAAAATCACTTCCTGTTTGCCGATCTTTGACGCATTTCGCCCCTCCTCTCGGGGCTTTGTCAAACGGCTTGTGTATTAGCCCACTTCTCTCCGCTTTATATTTGCAAGGGTTCACAGTCCAATTTACTAAAAGTCTTTTTACACAGAGCCTTTTATCCCCCTTTTTAATAGCCAATACCATAAACCTAAATAATAAATGGCATAAAATAAAACTAAATGTGTTAGAAATACCGAGGTATTTTTTAACAAGAGACACAAATACAGGAGTATGAACATTTAATTGAAAAAACCTTATGTGACTTATCAAAACACTCCATATATATATAGATATCCTTAAAAAATAAAAAAGTAAATAGAACAATATATTTATAGACATTTTTAGTGTAAAGTGCAAAAATAATACAAATTAAGCAATCCCATAAAATTCTATTTAGGGGTAGATGGTCTAAATCAAATAATAAAAAAAGAGAAAAAAAGGTCATATTCCCTCCATAAAAGTTTATATCCTAAAACATAAGTAAAGTAGTAAATCAATTAATAGACATTACATGCTATAAAATGCAAGCCTTCTCGGTTCATATTGATTTAATTAAGTATATATTATATAATACAACTACTAGGTAGTATCTCCCCACTATTGACTGCATCATTGGATAGACCCTCCCCCCCTTATTAGCACATGATAATCTCGTTTCTATTTCATATGGACTGGGTAGACACCTTAAATAAAAGCACCTTAACAAAGACATTCTTTCTTACGTGGCAACCATATATCAACACATTAAACAGAACAAAATTCTATTTGCAAATTTACAGACTGGCACTTAACGAGAGTTAATTAATGCCAACTTCGCAAACAAGACACCACATGCTAGTTGCCCTGATACTGAGCTAACCTTGAGCTTCAAAACTCTGAATATATAAAGGAAAGCATATTTAGTTTGTTTAATTTAGTTTACTGGGTTTTTTTTTGCAGTATTATTTTATTTTACTTTTAAATGTCTTGCAAACAAAAATGTCATGCAAGATGCACAGTAAATGTTTCAAGTTGAACTTGTCTATATTATACTGAATCTAGCAATTTGGTTCATGAAAATAAAAAAGTTTAAAACTAGAAAATAGCAACTATATACAGTTGCAAGAAAAAGTATGTGAACCCTTTGGAATGATATGGATTTCTGCACAAATTGGTCATAAGATGTGATCTGATCATCATGTAAATCACAACAATAGACAACCACAGTTTGCTTAAACTAATAACACACAAAGAATGAAACGTTGCTATGTTTTTGTTGAACACACCATGTAAACATTCACAGTGCAGGTGGAAAAAGTATGTGAACCCCTAGACTAATGACATCTCCAAGAGCTAATTGGAGTGAGATGTCAGCCAACTGGAGTCCAATCAATGAGATGAGATTGGAGGTGTTGGTTACAGCTGCCCTGCCCTATAAAAAACACAAACCAGTTCTGGAAACCACGACAGGACATTGACAAAAAGGTAATTGGGGTTTAAATAACCCTCCTTAGGCTGTAATTGGCTATTTCTGAACCCAAAACGTGCGTGCGTGTCTATGACGTGACGTCACACGCACGTTGGCACCATCTTTGATGTGGGTGGAGGTAAGTCTCCTATTAAAACCGGAACCGCAGCGGCCGGCATCTCTAGGAGCGCCATACTCGCTGGGAACTGGGATAGAAGGAGGTTGGGCAGTGGTTTGCCGCGACCAAGGTAAGTATTTGATTTTCCTGTCGGCGTAGCCACTATGTTTCCTTGCAGCTACGCTGACAGAATCACGGGAAGCCATGACAGAATCCAACTGTATGTGATTATCTCCGTCTGGTAGAGGGCTGTCACTTGGCAGATAGATGGCAGAGAGGAATAAGCAATCGCACCCCCTCAGGTTAGAGGGTACTCGGAACCCGCTCACATTCTGCGAGCTGGCACCACGAGCCCACCAGACACAGAGAGCACCTGGATCTCTCCCACACAGAAGATTAATCCGCATGGGTCTACAGGACGGCCCAGCCCCTCGGTAATTCCACTACTGTCTTGAACTATACTTACTGTTTATCCCTTCTCAGAAAGAAGCATGGGATCTCTGCATAAATAGTAAGGGTTCTAAGTTCTGCACTAGATCCCTGATTTTAAACACAATACTATGGATATAAATATACCCGAAACAAAGTGTTATGGCTAAAAGCATACTGTTATGGTACAGTGTAAAGTTGTTAATTTCTGTCTCTAAATTTTATATTTCTCGTTTGCTATGACTGGTCTCATTTTATATATATTTCTAAAATGAATGTAGGAATGGATTATGTTTACCAATTAGACTTACATTTGTGTAACAATTATAATTCATTGATACTAAACTGCAAAATGTAAAATAACACTCTAGTGTTAAAAATACAAACCTGTAAAAACGTGTTCTCCTATATAGTTCACACCTCTATCCCCACCTCAATACCAGAAAGTAAAAAATAAGTAAAATTGGCATAGCTTCATTCATCCACCACACCAGTCCCCAGCAACTACAATTCCACCAATGATTGGGTGAGATCATCTATGACAATGACAATCCAATCCTATTCTTTCCCATGGGTCGGGGGGCGCTAGTAAACATATGTGGCAATCACCATCTTTTCTTAGAAAAGCATTAGATCAATGCATCTCTATGAGGAGCATTTGGTATCTTCATGCATAGCGTGAGGACGCTGAATGTCGGTCATGTAAAGATTACAGGACAACACCAGGAAGGGCCTTTCAGTGTGTCTCTGAGTGTCAACTATAGGTATCCTTAGAGACAAATGTAAACACTGCAGAAAATTCAATATCCGCAACTGTCACACTGCAGGGAGTCTCTTTGCATGCACAACCACTACATTAAGCTGTAATGGATCTGGTATTTAAAGTGTCCCTTTAAACTAGCAAAGATAATCATATGTGGATTATCAATTCAGTTATTTATCAATTCACTATATCATAAATAAAGCTTTGCTTCTTAATTTACTACATACATTATTATTGTAGACATTATTTATAAATTAGCCTGCATTAAAATCCCATTCTTTTACAATATACAAATGTGATAAATTTAGACAATTAAAAGACACTAAATAAAACATTATTAAAGCGTGTCACCATTACTGATAAGTGCTTATTAAAATATTGTTTACTTTTGTAAGAACTGTGAAATGTCAAAGAAATCCAAGAACTATTACAATTACAATTGTAACTATAGGATAAAAGTTGTTATTATGAAATAAAGAAATATCAGAAAGATATAATACAGTATCTTAGTAATGTTGGAGTCTTTTTGTGACATTAATTTCAGGAGTCAAATTTGGCAAATATATTACTATAAAAAAAATGGGAATATACTGGATTTGAGGATAAAATCAATGTAGAAGAAATATGACGCTTTAATGTTTCCAGGCATAGAACGAGCTGTAGTATATAATCATTTGACAGCAATGGACACTATGAATGCAAATATAGCTACTTTGAAAATGGTACTGGTTAGTGAAAATGTATTTTTTATTTATTGCATGTATTTTATTTCATTTAGAACAAGTATAGATCTACTGAAAAACATAATCTAAAAATATATTTATAATATTATTTTATATATTATCTTTTAGCAATTTTAGGAAACTGAATTTCAGGGGCTGTTTGTTCTGAATAAATATTTTGCACACAAATAGTGTAATTGTGTGATCATGTTATTTTATTGTTACTATTTGATTCTGGTACTTCCATTACTGCAGTGTACATCACTGCCATTTACTGCCTTAAAGACAAGTAGTTTTCTAAATTTAAATTGTGAGCACAGAAGGTGTTAAGACCTGCAGTGGTTATGGTGCTGTGGTCTCATGTTCCCTTTCCCCAACAGCTGAGCATAAGTCATTATAGCTGTAGCAGGGGTTAGAGGAATAAGGTAGATGAAATGCAGTTCCAAGCTGATTTCCCAGCAAATAGAATATCCCCCAAACATGAGCCTAGACTTCATGAAGGGTGTAACAGGAATGAATTTTATTGACACACACAGGCTTTTATGAGAAATCCTCCTGCAAGATGACCTCCCACAGCAGACAAAGACAACAACCAATCAACACACAGCTTTACGGTAATACTCGCCTCCTCTCTGCGTGGGAGATATTGAGATAAGTTAAGGAATAAACCAATTATCTCCAGGCAGAGAGCACACAATTTCCCCAAAACTCAGAACACAATTTTCCCCACCTGGTATCCCCACAAATTACATATCCCCTGATAGCCCCGGTCTGGGGGACAAACATATCCAAATTTCACCCAGATCGGTTCAGGGGTTCTGAAAAAGTGTGGAGGGTCCCTTTTACCGACCACACACACGCGGCTCCTGCCCAAAACAGTTCCATGAATTTAGCGTGTGCGGTCGGTCAATTCACAAATAGATAAAAAACGAACAAAAGTCCCGAATGGATCCCCCTGGCTCATAGTAGCGATTGCTCCCCTTGTCCGTTCGCACAGAACTACCGAACGGCGCTTCCCTGGCTGTTCGGGAAATACAAGAAGCCGGCGTTCGGTAGTTTCAGCGGTGGTTCGCGAAGTCGAGTGTCCGTTTTTAGTTCCAGACACTCGACAACCAAGTCCCGCTGACTCCCCTCGTGCGAACAAGATGGCCGCCGTTTTCTATTCCACGTGGCGTTCGGCTGTACGAACAGCGGCCGCCCATGGAGCACTTAATAGCTGGTTCCTTTGTAGTTAATGA